TACAGTAGAGCGTCGTTTATCCGAATCAATTGGGGACTGGGGTGGTTCGAATAACTTATTTTTCGGATAACGAATCATGTACGAAAAAATATATTAATTTATCCCATGTTGAAAATTTTCTCCGTTGCGTGTCGCTTCGCGTTGAATTTTCGTCGATGTTAAGCCTAACGAAGACTATTGTATCGTTAAAAATTATTTTTTTATTTTGTACAAACAAAATAAATATATTTAAAAATATAAAAGGAATAAAAAATTATACTTTAGAAGTTAATTTAGTATCAAAAAAGTAAAATATTTGAGTAGCCCAAGACATAGCCAAAGATTGCAATGCCCCAGCACTGGCGAAAATTTAAATTTGCCGACTGGAATTCTTTCGGATGATTGACGTTTCGGATGATTGACTTTCGGATAATCGATGCTCTACTGTATTTTAATATGATTTTATGTGCTTTAAACTCTTTTCTAGTGATATTAAGACTTCAATATTTGTGGTGGACAGACATAAATTCAAATAAAATGACTTAAACTTGATTTTTATTTTTCCATATACTTTTTTGACATACGATGTATAATCGGGAACAACGTAACTCGAAACGACGTAAGTCGAGGTATACCTGTATAGTCGAATCCCTCAATGGCAATATTTAGCAGAACAAAAAAAAAAAATATTGTTGTAGAGATTTATTGTTATATCGAGAGTGTTTTTTAAAAAAAAGTACTTCCTCCACACTCCAGATTTTGTTTGATTACAAATAGTGTTATTTCTACACTGTTAGAACAGAAACACATACTCTGTATAATAATATTAAGTGTACTATTATAGTATATTATTAACAAACAATTTAGGCATGAAAACATCAAAAACATGCTAAATCTCATAACTCATTCTTGTCTGTACTAATACCTATTGATTGCGGATAATGTTTGTGCCAGAATCGCTGAATCAAGAGTGTATTATATTTTGATTTCAAAAATGAGAGATAAATTAAAATTTAATTTATTAAAATATTATTGTCGTAGGGAAAGGAAAACGCTATGCATTTTACAAGTTTAGAAAAAAATGTATGGCTAAACAGACATTAATCTCAGTAGAGGATATCATTCAATTGGGAGAAGTTTTACCTTAAAATAATACAAATTGCAATAAAGACACTGTAATCCAGTTAAAATAAACAAATTTATTATAAGAACAAACGTTTTCAACTGCTTTTAACAGCCATCTTCGGATTATGGAATGTTACATAGAATAAAATTCAAAAACAAAATTTAAATAAAACAGAATTTGTTAAACATGCATGCATAAAAGAATGTTGAAGAAAACTAAAATGGAATCAAAATAAAATACAAATATTGTATTTTCTGTTCACAGGGATTAAATAAAGTACAGTACATATATAAGGTATAAATACAAATAAAATCACATATACAGTAGAGCATCGTTTATCCGAATCAATTCGGGACTGAGGTTGTTCGGATAACTTATTTTTTGGATAACCGATTATGTACGAAAAAATATATTAACCTATCCCATGTTGCGTGTCGCGTTGCATTGAATTTTCATCGATGTTAAGCCTAACGAAAATTTTTATAATAATAATTGTGGCTATTGTATCGTTAAAAATTATTTTTTAATTTTGTAAAAACAAAATAAATATATTGAAAACTATAAAAACAAAAAATATTATACTTAGAAGTTAATCTAGTATCAAAAACGTTCGATTCAGCATGACACACAGTCCTAAGAAAAACACCACACAAAAGTGCCAGTGCTGCCAGCTAAAACACGCACATCAACAAAAAAAATATTGGAGTAGCCCAAGATATAGCTAAAGATTGCAGCGCCACAGCACTAGCGAAAATTTAAATTTGCCGACTGGAATGCTTTCGGTTAACCGACGTTTCGGATAACCGGCTTTTGGATAAATGACACTCTACTGTATAAAAATGTTCATAAATAGCCTTCCATGAATACAATATTGTAGAAGTGTCCTTAAAATTAACAGCAAAACCTTTTTTAGTCACTTCATAAATTTCAAGATTTTTGAGATACTTGACCCATGCAGGAACAGATGTGCTACGTAAGAGACGTGCATTATCAAAGGCCACTCAGACGTCATTGTCATAAGCAACAGTTGCGAGGGCCACTGTGCACAAACCCTTTTGAACCACGTAGTGATATTCCTATGACAAGTTTTGTGAATACCAAATTTTCTCATATTGCAACTTACGACGAATGTTTGTCGTAAGTTGTGATATGACGCTTTCATGAATCTGGGCCATAGTTAATAAGTTTGGACTGAGAATTGTTTGTTATATCTGCACATTTTGGTTTCTGTTTTAAACTCCTAACTTACTAGCTATTTTCAAAACCATGCTGGTATATTGGAGTTGCATTTCAAATGATTATTAATATTCTAAATAATGCTTTTAATAAATAATTGAATATTCATAATTAAAACTTATTTGTGAATGGAAATTAAATTACACATCTGTACTTAAACGCTAACTTGATGGAATTTACTTTAAAATAGATAAGATATTAAGTGATATAAGTTTTGATTCAAAATCAAATTTTTCAATTAAATTTTGTTATACAAATAAAACTGAATATTGAAATAGAGAAATACTAAACAAAATCCACAAAAAAATGCAAATATGTTAAAATTCAAAATATAATTAATTACAAAACACAAACTTACATCATGCTTCACTTGAAGAATAAATGAAACTGCCAATTTAATACTAAACGAACCCACAAGTAACGTAAGTAATTGAAATATCTATTAAAATAAATAAATTTATTAATAAATATAAATAAATTACAACAACCGTTTTATATTAAAAAACTGTAAAACATTTATATTTTATCTAAATAAATAGAAACTAAATACTTATTTTTATTTTTAATAAATTAAAGCTACGCTTCGGCGGCTTAGTTTTTAAAATGTGGTAAGTAAAATTTAATATAATGGTTATTATTCTGCTTTTTCAACTAGTTCTAAAATACTGCAGTTATGAAGCAATTAGTATGCCTGTTTAATGTCTTAAAATGAGTTGGTAATAGCTTAAAAACATTGAGATGATAAGGAAATAATACTTCAATCTAAATTTAAATAATCTGTTTTATCAGAGTTGACATAATCTGTTTTATCAGAGCTTAACATGGAGTTAAAATTTTATATATAAATGTTAAATTATTTAACTTTCTTAATAGTATGCAAGTAATAATTATGGATATTAATACTTTGGTTATAATTTTTAAAGAAATACAGTAATACCCCTAACTTACGCAATAGGTGGGACCAAGCGATAACCACATAAGTCGAATTCGCGTAAGTCGGGGTATAATTTCGCAATTTGTGTAAAATCCAAGTCAGATGTATGTAAGCTAATAAATGTTCTCGTTATTCTTATCTCGTCTTTTGATTCGTTCACGGTTACAAGAAATCACCACATAGAGTCTCTCAAGTCTCCGTAGATATAACAAACACAGAAATAAATAACACAAAATAAATTGTAGCTATGTGTCGATTCCACACGACACGTTCGAATATGTAAGCTGAACAATAGTGTGGGGGGAGTGAGTAATCAACAGTTGCGTGGCGCTCAAACAAAAGACGAATCGACAAGATTTGAAAATCGCATAACTCTGGGTTGCGTCAGTCGAGATATTACTGTATATGTTTTATTTCAGAAGGAATACTAACAGGAGCTCAAGAATATTACATTGTGTGACTGAAGTCCAATATTACATCACTGGCAACTGTTTTGATTTGTACAAGTTTCAGAATGGAAAGAAGAAATTTAAATGTGTCATGGCCATTGATGTTAGACACAGTGATTCCAGTATTACAGAAATTGCTAATCTTTTGAGCTTTATCAGCCAAAAGACATACCCAAGGCCAACAACAATTTCAATGAGAGGAATCAAAGGAGAATTGAGATGGCCATTGATACATATCATTGCACAACTGATTGTGAAATCACAAACCAGAACAACAGCGGGATGCAGAACGGGTTATTAATTAAATTATGATATAATTTCTATTACTAATTTTTAATATTTTATAAAGACTTACCCAAATGAAAACTGGTACTTTAAATTTCATTAAAGATTCATTAATTACAGATAAAAACTGTAAAAATAAATATTGTTAAATAATGATTCCATTAAAGCTGAAAATTTAATTTTGAATGTTAATTACATTTGTAAAAATAGCTTTTTGTCCTTAATTAAAAAGTAATTTTGTATAGGATAACCTAAATGTTAATTTTTTTAAGACGCGAACAGAGGCTAAATAACTTTCGAAGAATATTGAAATACCTTCAACGGATATAAATTAAATTCCACATCTTGGCAAAATATTCTTAATTTGGAGGTTAAACATAAGAATAATGCGACATAAACAATAAAATCTGTAACAAAAAACCTTGGAAAAGCAAGCTGCGCTATATTCAAGTACAATATCTAGGCAATAAAAGTGTTAACTCTCAACCACTCACCAGTTGGGTAGGCATTTTTGTCATTAACCAACACCCATCTTGATAATGCCCAGACAAAAATGTCTAAAGCTGCAATCGTAAACGAATATATTGGAATAATTTAGCTAATTATTCATACATTTAATTTGAAATGTAAGCTAAGATTGCAATTCGTCAAGATTTGATAGTAGATACCATTAGGATTGTCACCTGGCTGACAATGGGCCAGCTTGACTGGCAATTTTAAATTGAGACTGGTGGTCGGCAAAAATATTATGTTGGAAAAACAGATTAAAACAAACAAAATTATTACATAAAATTACTTTTAATATTCAGTAAGTTTACTTATAATAACAAAAATGTTCACAAAACTGAACATTTAAAAAAAATTTGGCTCGAGTGAATGAATTCAAAAATTGGTTAACTCAATGTAATGATGATATTTGTACAGCTTACTGCATCATTTTACAAACATCGTTTAGAATTCAATACAATAGAATTAAAGCACTTACAGGTTTGCAAATTGCAATAAGCATAAAAAAAAAAGTCTCTCTTTCTCATTTGTCTTTCCCCTCCCTGTTCATCATGTCGGCCACGAAACCAGTGCAACAGTCGTCGCTCACTCTGACTCAAGTCATAGAAATCATCCTGATTTAATTTGGAGCCGTGACGGGTCTCATTTCATACAGTAAACCAGAGAGTGAAAAATCGACATCTTTTATTCTGTCTAAGTTGTAAGTGTTATTCATTTTAAGTTTCAGCTTCTCAGTTCAGTTGAGTATAGGAGTCAATGAGTAACAGTTCAAAGTAAGACTAAGTGCTTTACAAACGCTAGGCACTATCTTCACCCTCTTTCCTTTGTATTGTTTTGTTCTTCTGTTACATGTCACTCTGTCTAGATTAAATAAAATACTCCTCATTTTTAATTCCTGTATTTCTTAGAGTGGATTGCATGAAATGGCTGCTTGTCTTAGTTTGAAATACGAATGCAATAACATGGCCGAGACAACCCCAAAAAAAAAGCCAAAACATTTGCTAGAAGTGGATCTACAAGAAAAGACAAATTTTACAAAGATAAAATGCAAAGGAATTTCTCTAGACAAAATGTTCACTCTGATGAAAGGATTTTCTTTAATGTTTTATATATATAACATATAAAACAACCCAATTTAATTATTAATGCCAAACAAACTGTCATATTATTTGTTGGGCTGTAATAAGACTAATTTAACAATTACATTTAAACCAATTTGGCTATAGATGAGCAGTTAGGCCACCATATAATGATAAAATTAAATTTAATAAGCTTATTTACATAAGTACCTATAGGCTATATAACTTAAACCTATATAGAGTATATATTTAAATAAATTTATTTTATAAAAATGAAAAAGAGTTTGACAAGTTTAATAATACTTTTTTCTTATTGAGTTTCTTGATGTCACTTAGAATAATATTTGTAACAAAATTACATATCTGAGAATATCTTCATAATGCCAAAGAGAACGAATAAAATAATATTACTTCAACTGCCTTATATCATTGGGCTATATTTTGGCCAAACTGATATACAGCAGTTGAACCCAGGTCTCAAACTTTTTGTTCCATTTTGGAATTTGATTGAGAACAATATAAAATTTACATAGATTTCACATATGTCTTTTCTTAATTAACGAGATCTGTTTTCTTGATTCCTGTTTGGATCATCATAAAATGTTTACCACATACTTGAAATCTCTTCCTTAAAATTGAGGCATTCTCCTTTCCATATTGCTTTGTAAATGTGAGATAAGCAGGGGGCCACTGGGGAAAATCCCTAATAATCACTTACTCTGCACGGGCTGGTAAAGCCGACCTCTGTGTTGTCGGATGGCTAAAGGAGGGAAAATTCGAGTGGGGAAGGTCGTGAGCAAGTCGACAGGTATCCTTGGATAGACAGGAGACAGGTTTAACAATTAAACAAAGCATTTATTAAGATCTAAGATTAACATACAGAGGTTAGATGCGATTAAATACTAAATATATGCAAAATAGCAGTCATTGCAGGGGAGAGAGTTTACAAATCACTAACAAAACTACCTCTATGAGGAAACAAATGGTATGCATCGATAATTTTGTAGGAATCACAGTCCTCGTCAATATGTTGAACTGTATGGATGTCCTAAACCGCGATCTTTCTACAACCAGTATCTTGTCCTCTCGTTAGATCAGGTCCATTGTATGGAGGTCCAGGAGACAGATTGCGCACAGTTAACAAGTATAACTTTCAGTTCGATTGCCCTGAACTTCCGGGGGCTAGAGCTTTTATTCACTTGTTGTGGGAAAGAGGTCATGTGATCATCCATGTTGACGATGACAATGCATTTTCTGAGACCTATGTGTCAACTTTCCCATCTGATTGCTGGCAATCGGGGTGACATCCGATCCAAAACTATTCGATAGCTTTTCTATCGGTGGTATAGTTTCTCATTTATCAACCCTCAAACAGTACTGTTCTCAATTGTATGCAAGGTTCTTGTCTATTGAAGAAGAGAACTGAACTTTAATTAANAGGTAAAAAGAGGATTTTTGAAAAAAATCATTTGCAATTAAAATTTACCATTAAAATATTTAACATGAATACATACAAAAGTTGAAAGGGCTATCAACAGCATGGCAGTTCCTGCTGCATATCTTTTAAAAGTTTACGTCGGAAGTACTGCAGCGCGCATGCGCTGTATGCAAAACATCGCTCTTTTCTTTTTCGTTTTAAATTGGCTCAAAGGTTACCACGTGCGATGATTCGAAAAGTAAACGAATCAAAAGAGTGTTCGAATTTCAATGTCCAGCTCAGTATTTATCAAAAAAGCCTGAGGAAGAGCCCAGAATGGGCATCAAAAACAATAGCTGAAGTATTATACATACACTCGAATTACGAGGTTGTAAGTAAGAGCTATTTTTAGTACATTCCGGTGTGTGGAGAAGAATAAATAACAAGAATTACATTATATTAAGATTTTGAAAAAGAAAACATGTTAGATCTGCAATTATAGTGGCCAGCACATTTTTCTCAAACTGTGAGACAAATTATGTAAGTTAAGACTCATAAGTTTTCTCACAGATGGATCAAAGTACCACCATAATTGCATAACCTAATAAATATGAACTATTCCAGGTTTGTTAGAGTCACTAACAAAGAAAAATTCTACTATTTCCAAAGTAAGTTGTATAATTATTAATTCTGTTATAACTGCTGTTAATTTCAGAAATACATTTCAATATATCAAAAAATCATAATTTAAATACTCTAATGCTGTCTCAAGAGATATTTAGCAGCCCAATTGCAATTAAATCTGGTATGGTGAAATTTAGATATTTCTGTAAACAAAACAATTAGTAACAAAATCCACTACTATGATACTTTTTGCACTACAAGCAATTAAAAAATGCACAGTTTCCTTTACAAAAGCATGTGTTGAAACTAAGTTCTGGGTATAAAAGTGGCCACAGCCATCAAATATCAGTTATGATGGCTATCACCTTGACAGAATGTGCACTTCCTGTAAAGCTGTTTTATTAAACATTAGCAATTGCTGCAGTTGCACTTCTGAAATTTCATGACTCCACAAGCTCTCAGAGAATGATAACTCAATTCAAGGAAACTGGATGTCTGGGAGTTCAACCTGGCCTTGGGAACAAACCCATTATTTCACAAGTCATTCAAGATGTTACCATAGTTGTTGCTGAACAGTCAATGAATAATACTGCAGATTCCAGTAGTACATGTGCAATGTAGTGGAAGTTGGGTATATCATATGGCACAGTGTGGAAGGTTCCAAAAAGTTGATGCATTGTTATTTATATAAGACCAGCCAAAACCAGCAGTTGCTTGCTGCCAACAGGAAAATCTGAGTGATCTTTGTATTAATCTTCCTTGACAAAACAGACATGTCGTAGCCATGGAAAATCCTGTAAAGTAACATTTTCATCTCAGTAGAATAGTGAAAATCTATACTGTCACATTTGGGCCCAGGAAAGTCCTCATTTTCCTGAAAATTCCACTGCACTCACTTAAAGTTACAGTCTAGATTTACAACTACATTTATCCTCAAACCTTGCTTCTTCGAAGAAGTTAGTCTCAATGGTACGATATGCATTGTGATGATCCAGAAATCTCAAGAGATGCTCAACACTTTTGTCATATCTCAACTGCGATAATGACAATGCATCTATCTGACCATAATTTTAAAAATACCGTCATTAATTTACACAAAATACTTACATATGATATTAGTAACGTAGATGCAAAAAAAGATGTTAGAAGCATTTCGTTTCCAAACATGAGAACGTAACTTATTAATAATGAACACTGTAATTAAAAATTATTTGTATGAATATAAATTTTTGAATTGTAAACAAATATTCTTAACTTTTTTTATTCTATTTCTAAAACTATTCATTCAGTTTCCAGAAAACTTGTGATATAATTGTTGACAATAAGAGCATGTGTATAAATTTGATTATTTACAGTATATGTACCTAATTTAAAACAAATTACTTTTATTTTATAGCATATAAGAAACAGACATATAAGAAGAACACCCATTTTTGAAAGAAATATTTATAAAAAGAGTATTTAGTGTATTTAAGCCAATTCACACCTTTGATACTCACCCCCAATTTTTTTACTGTACAATGAAGCCAACCACAACAACAGTTAGCACTACAGTTAGCAGAGACTTAATTAATAAACAGTCTTAACAAAGCACCTTAATTTGTTGAGACTGTTTACTTTGATACAAACTAATTTTTATACAAAAGCATTGAAAATCAAGATGTCAAAAATCTGATTAGGCCATTAAAAAATGGATATTAACCTTTTCAATCATGACTTCATTGTTCATGTTCTTACATTCATTCAAAATTCAGACTTTTTAAATTTTGAAATTACAATTAGTGTATTTTTTGTTTAAATATAGTGATTCCGCAAATTGTATTTTGAACCTGTATATATTCCTACAATCCTTATGAAATAATGGCTTGAACTTATAACAACTAAAGTTGAATCACAGTATATTTAAAGTTTTCAGTACTTAAAATGATAATACAGTAGAGCGTCGATTTTCCGAATCAATTGGGGACTGGGGTTGTCCGGATAACTGATATTTCGGATAACTGATTTATGTTCGAAAAAATAGTTTAACGTAGTCGATGTCGAAGTTTTTATCCGTTGCGTGTCGCTTCGCATTGAATTTTTGTCGATGTTAAGCCTAACAAAGACTATTGTATCGTTAAAAATTATTTTTTTATTTTGTACAAACAAAATAAATATATTGAAAAATATAAAAATAATAAAAAATTATACTTCAGATGTTAATTTAGTATCAAAAACGTAAAATATTTGAGTAGCCCAAGACATAGCCAAAGATTGAAGCACCACAGCACTGGCGAAAATTTAAATTTGCCGACTGGAATTCTTTCAGATGATTGACGTTTCGGATGATTGACTTTCGGAAAATCGACGCTCTACTGTATTTATGTACATTTGAAAATCTAGATGGGGTGTGGCCCAATTAGTCCAGATTTTTGATGCTTCATTGTATTTTGCTTTAAAAAAATGTAAAATTACAATGCATATTTTTATTTATTAGGTAAAAAGAGGATTTTTGAAAAAAATCATTTGCAATTAAAATTTACCATTAAAATATTTAACATGAATACATACAAAAGTTGAAAGGGCTATCAACAGCATGGCAGTTCCTGCTGCATATCTTTTAAAAGTTTACGTCGGAAGTACTGCAGCGCGCATGCGCTGTATGCAAAACATCGCTCTTTTCTTTTTCGTTTTAAATTGGCTCAAAGGTTACCACGTGCGATGATTCGAAAAGTAAACGAATCAAAAGAGTGTTCGAATTTCAATGTCCAGCTCAGTATTTATCAAAAAAGCCTGAGGAAGAGCCCAGAATAGGCATCAAAAACAATAGCTGAAGTATTATACATACACTCGAATTATGAGGTTGTAAGTAAGAGCTATTTTTAGTACATTCCGGTGTGTGGAGAAGAATAAATAACAAGAATTACATTATATTAAGATTTTGAAAAAGAAAACATGTTAGATCTGCAATCATAGTGGCCAGCACATTTTTCTCAAACTGTGAGACAAATTATGTAAGTTAAGACTCATAAGTTTTCTCACAGATGGATCAAAGTACCACCATAATTGCATAACCTAATAAATATGAACTATTCCAGGTTTGTTAGAGTCACTAACAAAGAAAAATTCTACTATTTCCAAAGTAAGTTGTATAATTATTAATTCTGTTATAACTGCTGTTAGTTTCAGAAATACATTTCAATATATCAAAAAATCATAATTTAAATACTCTAATGCTGTCTCAAGAGATATTTAGCAGCCCAATTGCAATTAAATCTGGTGAAATCTGGTATGGTGAAATTTAGATATTTCTGTAAACAAAACAATTAGTAACAAAATCCACTACTATGATACTTTTTGCACTACAAGCAATTAAAAAATGCACAGTTTCCTTTACAAAAGCATGTGTTGAAACTAAGTTCTGGGTATAAAAGTGGCCACAGCCATCAAATATCAGTTATGATGGCTATCACCTTGACAGAATGTGCACTTCCTGTAAAGCTGTTTTATTAAACATTAGCAATTGCTGCAGTTGCACTTCTGAAATTTCATGACTCCACAAGCTCTCAGAGAATGATAACTCAATTCAAGGAAACTGGATGTCTGGGAGTTCAACCTGGCCTTGGGAACAAACCCATTATTTCACAAGTCATTCAAGATGTTACCATAGTTGTTGCTGAACAGTCAATGAATAATACTGCAGATTCCAGTAGTACATGTGCAATGTAGTGGAAGTTGGGTATATCATATGGCACAGTGTGGAAGGTTCCAAAAAGTTGATGCATTGTTATTTATATAAGACCAGCCAAAACCAGCAGTTGCTTGCTGCCAACAGGAAAATCTGAGTGATCTTTGTATTAATCTTCCTTGACAAAACAGACATGTCGTAGCCATGGAAAATCCTGTAAAGTAGCATTTTCATCTCAGTAGAATAGTGAAAATCTATACTGTCACATTTGGGCCCAGGAAAGTCCTCATTTTCCTGAAAATTCCACTGCACTCACTTAAAGTTACAGTCTAGATTTACAACTACATTTATCCTCAAACCTTGCTTCTTCGAAGAAGTTAGTCTCAATGGTGCGATATGCATTGTGATGATCCAGAAATCTCAAGAGATGCTCAACACTTTTGTCATATCTCAACTGCGATAATGACAATGCATCTATCTGACCACTTTCATGAAAAATGGAAGGCCTCACATATCAGAAGTTGCATACAGCTGTTTCTGTGACGTTTTGCCAATAACAGAGTAGTTGTGCATTTCCTACCATCCAGCCACCTAGTTTTCTGGATTTTAGATCATATGATTTTTGGTTTGGGAACACTTGAAAGGTTATGGTTAATCAAGAACATGTTGCAAATTTGGTAGCCTTTAAAGACTGTATTATCACTCTGCACATGAGAATCAATTAATGTCAGCCATCAAACACATTGTTCATTGCCTTTAGGGTTTTACAACTTCAAAATGAGAGAACATCAAAAAGTATCCCCTGCATCACTAATGTCTACAAATAGCACGAATGTCCCATACAAGTAATACTTAAAACATTTCCTGCTCATTGTGTCAAAAGTCCAATAGTGGAGAGTTTTGGTACTAATTTTGTTTACAGAAATGTCTTCCTTAAATCCTGAAATTCCAGATTTGATTCCATTTAAACTGCTAAACACATCTCTAGACAGATAGAATCACTATTCTATCTGTAGTGGTACTTCAATTACAACCACCAAATATAACAGATGTCTGAAAATTTGAAATAACAGATAATAAAGTGATATAATTATCAAATTTAAATGAATTTAAATGGAACATAAACATTTAAAAATCAAAAACTTACCATCTCACTGATTATAATCATTTGTAAAGTTTCAGTAGCAACGTATCCCAGCATATAAGTTACAAATATAGCCATTATTTGAGTTAGCAGAACAAACTGAGAAAACTGAAAATAAAAATTGAATAATTTACCTGCAATTATTTTGTTCATATAAAAACATTTCCTATTTTCTATACATACTTGCCAAAACAAAATGGATATTATAGTTAATATCGAAATTATTAAAAAGTTACTCCAACTTTTTCTGTTATCCCTGTAGAAGAAAAAGGAAAAAAATTAATTATATTACAAGATTTCTATTTGATTAATCAATCATTTTAACTGTTATTATTTTTCTATCTATATATAAAATTTAATAATACTATAAAGCTTAAGTTTACCTCAAAGTTTTTGTTATCATCAGCATCTGTGCTAAGAGTATTGGATACGCAAAACTCTCTCTCAATGGTGGAGTCCACTGAACACGAGTTGCCTAATAAATATGAAAAATTTGTCGATAAATTATGAAAAGTACAAATGACAGATTATCAGATGCATGTAAAATAAATAAATTAAATGATGATAGCAAAAATACAGGAACATTTAATCCACAATTATGCAATTTTAGATTTGCGTAAACATATATCTTCATTAAAATTGCACAATTTATTGTGTATTTATTGCATTCTATAATGAATACAATAGTTTTTGAGTACCAAAGATAATTTATTTGTAAAAAATTAAACTACCTATTAAAGGGTGACTTATATATTTGTTAACTCCATATTTTCATAATTATGAAGCTTAAAAATATGTTTAACTTGTTTTGTAGGCATCAGTTAATAATTACATTTTACTTCTGAGTGCTTGATATTTGAAAATTTGATTCAATGAGCCATTTTTTTCTTAAGTTTCCTTTCCCACTTGCAACAAGACAAATTCCAACAAGCCATGATTAATAGTCTGTAGGTTCTGACCTCCATTTCATTTGTTTCATTCACGTTGACTTTGTTTGCTATTCATTTTAATGCAGTTGTGCAACTCTATTTTCACATTACAAAACCTTCCATCAATGATTACAATTTCGTTAACTAAAAACACAATTTTAATTTACACTATTTTACTTGTTTTCTGTTTACCTATTGTATTAACTATTCTCTGTTTATACACATCAATCGAAACCCGATATCTTAAGCAAATACACCTACAACTGCCGTAAATGATCGGGCTAATATCGGGTTTCGATTGACGTGTATATTTATATACCTTGCCAGGGTTGCGATGGCCGACTGAATGCCTCGAGTGGATGTTTCTGGCCGAGGGAGCAAGTGCGTCCCCAGTCGGCACCGTAATAACCGTCGATAGTTATTTCTTAACTTATATATGCTGGAAGCGAAGATAGGACTGGAGGTCCGGGTAGCGTAACTGGCAACGTGTCCGCACGATAAGCGGGAGTTGCAGGTTTGAGTCCTGCTTCGGGCCGATTCTTTTCTTCCAGTTTAATCTAAATTAATTAATTAAATATTGTAATTATTAATTTTAATAAGAGATGGCAGCTAACACCTCACTCTAGTGCCAAATTCATTTCTAATCCATAATNAAATGACTGATAAAAATTCCAGAATGATTATATGAGGGAAAGTCAATAAATAAGTTACTAAGAGATATTACTTTCATTGTACAACTGTTACAGTTTCCATCTTCAATAACATTTGGCATCATACCAGCCTGTTAGACAATTCCAGATTCCACATTTAGTACTGTATTATCAATGGTTAAAGACAGAAAAGGTGCTGGAAGTGTATAGTGTTGTTGAGCAAAAAACAATTATTTGTTTCTGTGGGCAAAAAGTTATGCAGCAAAAAATGTTTACAGGAAAATAGTGCAAATGTATGGAGAGAACACACTCTCAGAAAAAGCAGTCTACAAGTGCATAGAAAAATTTGAAAATGGCCATAGCTGTATCGAAGACGAAGACCAATCTGGCTGCCTGGAGGAAGTTCAAACTTTCCGAAATTTGACAAAAGTGGAGAAAGTGATCAGAGCTGACCATCGCGTAACGGTTGATGACATTACAGCTGCACAACATTTGAGTGTTCTCGTGGTATTGCACATGACCAACTGGCATTTCAAAAAGTATACAATTGAGTTCCATGTGACTTTAAGGCAGAGTAAAACAGCTTTGGACAGCTTATGTGTTGGAGCATCCAAGTTGGTAGACGAAGAAGAAAGCATCATCTCAGATGACCATTTCCAGCCAGAATCAAAACATGCTTTGATTCAATGGAAGCACCTATCCTCACCACAAAAACAGAAACAAAAGTCATTGATGGTGTTGGATCTATATAAACTGGACCTGTTTTACTGCTTACTTCTTGATTATTTCAATTATTCGGCGAATCCAAACAGGACTCGGTCCCAATTAGTTCAGACTAGTGAGAGACTACTGTGTGTCAAAAATACCAAAAATCATGATTTGGCAGAAATATCCCAGACTTTTGGAATGCAACATTCTCTTCCTCCACACACTACAAACGGAACTGAACAAATCCATAAACTCAATACCGAACTACTGAATCATCCACTATACAACCCAGACTTAGCCCCAAGTGACTTCCATTCATTTGGTCTATTGAAACAAGACCCAGATAGGATTCACTTTTCCAATGACAAATTCAAACACAAAGTGAAATAATGATTACAAAGCCAACTAGAACAATTCTTTGCTTCTTCAGAAGCAATAATTTGATAAAGAGATGGGACAAGTACCTAAATGTACTGCAGGGCTCGCTCTAAAAAATTTTTAAATATTGCCACAATTTCCAGTTTTTAATTTTTTTTTGCCACTTAAAATTATTTATTGCCACCAGTTTTACTTACTAATTACTGCAGGTGCTGGTAAACTTGTCAGTTTGGCATCTGGAAAGCAAAAGGAAACATGTTAAACTGTCAATTACAAGGAGAGGGACAGAAGTTTGGGTCTCCAAATCAAACAAAACTTGGTGAGCACATAGACCTAAACACAAATAGCTCCTCATCCAAATAATAGGACCCACTTTTCAAACATTTCCAAAAAAGTGGTCTCTGAAAATTTGGACTTGTGGTGGCCTGAAGTGCAACCCCTGGTACTGTACATGGAATTATATTGAAAAATTGGGAAAAATAAACTTTTTACGTTACAGACAAATATTGCTGTGGAAGTATGCACGTTATTTATCAACTTTTCCTCAAACAATTAAAAATTCTGGAAAAACAAGAAACACTTAAAAAGTAATTGATTTAATAAATACAGTGGGTGATCGGTTAACGAACAGATCGGTTAACGAACAAATCGGATAACGAACACTTTCGCGAAAGATTTTTATGATCGAACAACGAACACATGTTCGGATAACGAACACTTGACTGAACAAACACAAAAAGAAGAGATGTAAAATAACGAATACTGATTAGTCTTCCTTTGTCTTCAGACAACAATTCAAAACTTTTCGGAGCGCGGGAGACGTCGACATCGACGTTCTACCCAGTATATCAGTATACTGAGAGGATAGTATTCTCCCGAACTTTGAAACTCTCCCTTGTAATTCCAGCTTTTTATATTTTTGTCAGAAACAATTCTTTTACATTTTCTTATGAAAATGCGGATTTATGCCGATATCTGCTATTAAAGATCTTTTAAAGAAGTGGGAGGACGTTGTTCTGACAGAACAACGGTCTTAAAATGGCATCGAAACCAGGTTGAGGTTAATAGGCCTAGGGTTCTCTACAATTACAATGCTATTAATTACTTCTGAAAAATCATAAAGAAGACAGAAAAGCAATCGACATTGGACAGATTCTTTAATTAATTAATTAACCCCCACAAACGGAAAAAACATGACTAATAAAAATGCAAGACCGTGTATATATGTATTTTTATTATTACATATAAATAAACGTAATAAGAAAGTATAGTCTATATTTTTTTATTTTTTGGAGGTCTCCAGAACGAATTAATCAAATTTCCATAGAAACCTATGGTAAATCGATAATCGGTTAACGAACAATTTGGATAACGAACAAAGTCTTGGAACGGATTATGTTCGTTAACCGATCACCCACTGTATTTCAAAAGATTTATATAATTTATTAATATCTTGTGTGGTAGTTGATGAATACGTAGATTTAGTATGTGTGTCTTTAATCTGAATTAGTAAAAACGGTAGACTTTCTCTCAGCTATTAGGTTAGGTACTCCTTTATTGCAAATCACAAATGCATTTCGTGCCTATATGAGCCCCTCTTCAGTGTAAATGCTCAGAAGACAGAGTAACACTTTTCTAATTGTATGACACTCGCAATGATATTTTATATAATCCAAAAAAACACATGAATGTGTATTGAATGGCACTATTACACAGGTACAATTAAAAACCCTGTAAGGTATTTAAAACCATATCGTGTACTTTCAGACGTTATCAGAATACGTCATGTTTCCATTACAGTTTATCATATTCGTTAGCGTTATTGTTGTAACACGATTTTTCTGACTTATGATTTTTTATTTTTTTGATGTTAGATATCTCTCTCTTTAAAATTATTTTAAATTTTATCTTAATTTATTAAATCAATTCTCTGAATTTATTGATAATCCATTCTGAAATCATCTTTTACAGCAGTATTGTCCTATTAAAATCAATTAAATTTTTTATTTTTAGAACTTTTACATATCATTCACATTAAATATTTTTATATTTTCTGTGTAAACGATATTATATAAAATTATAAACTTATTTTTATTTGTTATTGTATTGAAAATGATTTCATTTAACATTTTTTCATTATTTGTATTTATGAAAATCATAATAATAATTAAAATATAATCTTTATTAATTTAAAAACTATTTTTCCAGAGTGTAACTGTTTTCAGATTATTAAACAATAATAAACTTCATACAAAAATCTTATTCTGAAAATCGGAAAGTAAAGAATTTACATTCTATTATTAATTAATAAGAGAAAATATAATCGTCATAAAACCAATAAAATTGGATTTTGAAATCCGAGCTCTAACTCTAAGCTCTAAAAATTGCTTTTTTTTCTGTGTTCTTGGAGACTAAACAGTTCTTAGTAAAACCAGACAAACAACTTTTCCACGGCCAATTTCGTTTTAAACGGATTAAGCCAATTTCACGTTTAAACAGTTAAATTAAAAATCTGTTGTATTCTTAAATGTAATCTATGGCCTGAATATTTCAAACACACCAATTTGTTATATTATTTAAAATTCTGAAAGAAAATTTAAGAGAAAATTAATGTTTTGATATACAGTAGAGCATCAATTATCTGAATCAATTGGAGACTGGGGTTGTTCGGAAAGCTGATTTTTCGGATAACCGATTATATACAAAAAAATATATTAGCCTATCCGATGTTGAAATTTGTTCAAATCCTGGCACATCCTTAAATACCCTCTCCTGGTCGCACCAGTGCTGCCAGCTAAAACATGCACACCAACAAAAATAATATTGGAGTAGCCCAAGACATAGCGACAGCACTAGCGAAAATTTAAATTTGCCGACTGGAAAGCTTTCGGTTAATTGACGTTTCGGTTGATCAACATTCGGATAATCGATGCTCTACCATAGTTAAGTAAAAATGTAATCGATGCTCTACCGTAGTTAAGTAAAAATGTAACAAACTTCCTTGAGCAGAGAACTAAACAATTAACTTAACAATTTGCTTAATACTTACCTCACCATGATTGAAGAAAAAGCCAGACACTGCTAAAATTCCACCAAGAAACGAATTGCTGAAAATTAGAATGCATCAACATTGATGATTGTCAAAATTTCTCTATATTCGTTAAGTATTTTTATATATTTTTCTTATTATTGTAAAAATTAATTTTAAAAAATTGCTCTATAAATTTATTTATTTATTAATATTTTATTCACAATACTTGTAAATAGGGAAATAAAGAAAAAGAGTGATCATATTCAGAACTCAATTAAATTTTATTGTACTTACTTCACGACAAAAGAAAACATGCTAAATATTTTTACATAATTTAGAATAATTTTCATTTTTTTTTTATTATTTTTGTAATTTGATAGACTGAAGAGAGTCAAATAAATTAAAATGAATATCTACATAATAATAAAAAATACCATACAAGACCAAATCATAAATGCAAAAGAACTATAAAAAGCATATTTTAAAGACAAAACTTGCAGATACCTGTAGGGAATGCTACATTGCAAACAAAACTACATGACATGTTGTATCGAGTTGCATGTTATTAATGCAAACTGACTAATTACATCAACATAACCAAATAGCAAATACAATATGAGAGTTGGTCAAAAAATTTGCAGAAAATATCTTTTAAAAATTGCTGCTTTGCAATAGTGTGTTGGTAGAGGTCTCTGAAACTCATATGCAAGACGGCAACCTGTTTTGACATCATGGAGACACACGATTGTTCTACAAGTGCATCAATCTACCCTATCTTGCCTTCCTTAACTGAATATGACAAGAGAGTTGCAACTTTGGTACAGTTTTGCCTGGCAGATTCAGTGGTGCAGTGTCTCAAAACTCTCCAACAAGCACTTTGTGAGCAAGCCCCATCTCAAACTACTTGTGTACAAGTGGTATCTGTGCTTTCAATCTGGGTGTTTCAACCTTGATGATGATGGACATGAAGGATGTCCAAGGATTGTGGTAATTCCAGAGAAGATTGATGTTGCCAAGGCCCTGCTTGATAAAGACTGATGGATAAGTTCAGGCAATCTATGTATTTCTAGATCTAAAAAAGAGAATTTGGCATTTAGTTCTTCCTCCACAGTAAATTTGATATTTTCCCAAAACTGGTATTTTCTGTATACCATAAAAATAACAGTGCGCCACATATTATTCCCATCACTGCATTCCAGCCTTCACACTTTGTAAACTCAACAATTACTTCTTTTATTTGCAGAGCACTCCTTCCCATCCACTCAGACATTAGTAAACAATGAATTACAACTTATTCATAGGGCAGTACATTATTTTCCTTCTAGGTTTTGTTATCTCTATAATTGGGTCAAAAGTAAGTTGTTCCCATAGACCAGTGGTTCCCAACCTTTTTTCATTAGCGTACCCCGTGACATGTCATATCTCTAGATTGTACCCCTCATTTAAGAAATTTAGTGAGTAACCGTATTGTTAATTTTACATATTGTAACTTTAAATTAAAGAAAAAAAACCTAAAAGAAAAAATGTATAATAAAGTTGTGATTGTTGCAAGGAACATTTTTTATCTAATAATTTTTTAATACTATTAGTTTGTGATACATAATATATTATTTTTTCTGCCATAATAACTAACTTTTTTCTGTACCCCTTAAACAACCTATCGCGTACCCCTAGGGGTACGCGTACCACAGGTTGGGAATCGCTGCCATAGACTTTCCTCCACACCAAGAATGAACTGAGGGTAGTACAACCCCAATACCGTTTTGGGTCCCATATCGTTGAGAACAGCATATACTTTTAGGAATCAGATTTACTTTGCCTATAGCCCCCCAACCTACACTACGAAGAATTTTATGTAACAACTGAGACATTATCACATTAAATGAAAAATCGGGAGTCTACAACATTCCATTACAACACACACTCTCAGGAGGAAATTATTTACATTAGAGCTACTGCTAGAATGTTACAGTCCCATATTTTAGAAGAACGATGATATTATAAATAACAGACCAGCAACTGAGTTATCTAAATGGGTAATAGACCAAGATTATCTAATTCTTTGGGCACACACCAAACTACTTAAGCAGTGCAATGATAGAAGGGAGTTATTTATATGGGAGAGCCTCTATACAGGGTGTTCGTAAAATCCATGTGCAATTTAAAAAATTTATAACTTTATTAGTATTTGTGATAGATAAAATCTGTAAAAAGTATTAGAAAGCTTAATATACCTATTTTAAATAAAATTATTTAGTAACTTTTCAACACAATAATTTAACAATTTTTCAAAACTTTAAAAATACTTCTTTTCCAGAATTGTGTGTGGCCCATAGCTTCAACTGAAGAAAAAGTAAACTGTGTCCTTTGGTTAACTGAACTTGTCTACAATAAAAATAATAAAAAATATAGATTTTCTTATTTCCAATACATTCTACATAATTTCTCTATCACAAATACTAATAAAGTTGTAAATTTTTTAAATTGCACACGAACTTTATGGACACCCTGTATATCTGCTGTAACAATGGGCAATAAACCTACCATAGAAATCTTAAAATTCTGGGTTATCTTCTTCAAGCAATTTAATTTGTAATTATCTGTTTATATAATTTAAAATTAATTTAGTACATATTACTAAATTAATTTTTAGATGGTTTTGATATGAATTATAATGCACTTGTATAATTTTTAAAAAACATTTTAATTTAGTTTAATTTTGTTCTGTATTCTATCCAAGTGCCTTGGTTAATTTTTAAAAAAGTCCTCCATTCAAATAACCAAATGTTCGAAAATTAATCATCTTCAATTTGTTTTTTGCCTGAGGATGGTGGCCATAAGCTGTTAAAAGTACTAGCAAGTACTTCTTAATTACGCTAATAAATTGTAACTGTAATGCCGCCACACTATTGTGTTAATTATTTTATATGATTGTTGTCATGAATGTCTTTTTATGATTATTATTTATTAATAACATTAAAATAACTGCTTCATTCTGAAAACCAATTTTGTAACACACTATTTTTATGTTCAAAACTATACATAATGTTTTCAAGGAAGAACAAAAATGTTACTAAATGAAATAATCCATTTGGTTTCCAGAATTAAGCAGTTATTTTAACAATAATGTGAGACCGTGGATTTCAAGGGAATTTTGAAATCAATGTTAAACATTTTTTTTTGAATTGTAAACATCACGATAGTAAAAAACTATCTTTACGGAGTATGGGATCAGATGTCACCTTTTGTATCAACAATTAAGTGGGAAAGTTGACACATAGTCATCAAAGAATGCAAGTCATCATCAACAAAGGACAATCACGCGACCCCTTTCCCACAATGCTATAAAAGATGGAGTAACCAGAAGCTCAGAGTAATCGACTGGAAGTTGTACTTGAGATAATGCACATTTTAGCCTCTGTATCCGCGATCCTGCCCAAGAAGACGAAAGATGAGGACTACGATACTTCCATAATCGTAAGAGATCATCGCCAATAGCTCTCCATCAACACAGAGGTAATTATTAGCGGTCTACAAACTCTCTCTCTGAATGGAAATAGTCATAACTGTTATGGATTAGCCCTGTTTTAAAGAATATGTCTTGTAATTGCATTTTAAGTGCATTTAGTCACATCTAGCTTTCTATAACCTGAATGTATTTATCCATAAGCATTCTCATGTATATGAGGGTTAGCAATTCATTAAACCTTTATTTTGTTATTTGTTATAACTTGTCTCCTGTATTTGGGAACCCAGACACCTATCAGCTTACCAACACGCTCCCCACTCAAAATTTGTACTCCTAAAGACATCCAGTGACAAAGTGAGCGAGTTTAACCAACTCAACAATTAGAGGGCTCTGTACTCTCACCAGTATTCTCACAATAATATTATGGTACTAAGTTTTAATTTTATTGATGTAAATACTTAATAATTAGAGAAATTACTTTACAAAGAATTTCCAAAAGAAATGAATCAAGACAAGACAGAAATCAACTCTCACGTTTTAGGTAAGGATATTACCAGATACATTATTTGAACTAAGATTTTTTCAAACTACCACTTTTTTCATGTATAACCCACATGTTATCTGTGTTTAAAAAACAATTCAAGACGGTTACAGATTATGCAGACAGCTATACCCATAGTACATGGTACACTACATTACCATGTACCCATGGGAGTAGCTGTTTGCTCTTATAGATAGTGTAGATTATGAAAGACTTTTATTTTTGTTGTTGCAATTCTCTGTAAAACACAGACCATTGGAAATTATATCTGTTGTAAAGATACAATATTTAAATTTTGAAGTTAAGAAACAAAATGCACATAAATGTTTATCTATACTAATATTATAAAGAGGTAATGTTTGTAAGTAAGTAAGTAAGTTTGGATGAAGCGGGTAATCTCCGAAACTACTCATCCGATTTCAAAAATTCTTTCACCAATATTTAGAATGGAACTTCAGGGTGGACATAGGCTATATATTATTCCATTAAATATTTGTATAAATTAAAAGATATAATCTAGGTTAAGGCTTTTATGTCCAACAGATGGTACTACGAGTACAACGCCCTAAGTTTGCTTTTCTGTGAGGCATTACAATTTTCTGTGAAAATGAACTAAAGCAGATCATCTTCTATCTATCTATATAAATAAAAATGTAACGTTCGTTTGTTCCTACCGATTTATTTGAAATTTTGACACAACGCTGCATTCGAATACGCACATGTTTTTATATAATATACGTGTCGAAATTCCCCCACTGAAAGGAGATGGTTAGGATTAAAACTTACCTTAAAGAACTCTGCTTCTATTTATACTATTTTAGATGCGGTTTTTTGCGTTTTTGATTGTGTTTTAATAGGCTACGTCAAGAGAATGTACACTAAAAAGAAATTTTTCAAAAAATTCCCCCCCATGGGAGAAGTGTTATACATTTATAATAGATACATTTTGAGCCACAACGTGTGGCGGGGTCTGCTAGTATATGATATTTTAAACTGAGTGATAAAGCAAAATTTACCTCTCTACATGTTTTGTTTTATGAAGAACTACAGAGTTGATAAAGTCATTGAGTGTTTTAAAATCATTAGTACAGTCGACTCCCTATAACACTGTTGATAATTTTGTGTTATATGAATTCCATGTTGTACGAGTCACTTAGATTTTACAAATACGTGAGCTGTTCACAGCCCGGCACACATATTTGTAAAATCTAAGTGACTCGTACAACATGGAATTCATATAAAATGGAAAAATCAACTGTGTTATAGGGGGGGTCGACTGTATCTGTATTCGTACATAACTTAAAATGTTAAAATTTAAAAATTTATTCTTACCTTAACATTTTTCCATATAGAAATATAAGACCACTAACAAGTCCATTCCACAAGAAAACTGCTGTGATATAAAAATATGCAGGTTCTCCAAGACCTAGAAATTAAATATAATTTTCACTTTTAACCTATTCACATTGTCAACAAACATTCAGAAAAAAATCATTAAAGAATAAAATTAATTAACTGTAAAAAGATTAAGCAGCAAAATATTTCTGCTTATCAGCCTGCTGTATTATTTGCCTGACTCCTCCAAAAAGAATTCATACCAAAGGATGATGAGTATATCACTCATTGCCTTTAGGCCTATACACTCTCAGTAATCCAGTGCATCTCTTTGCAAGGAATGGATTCACAAAAGTCTAGTTTAATTAACTTGTGATCTGTACAAGCCTGTATCAGTTACTATTCCTTCCAAATGGGTTCAAAACTACCATTTAAAATCTTCCTACTAAACTCCATTGCTTACTTGGCCTGTGAAATGTCTCTTTGATATACAGCTTTGCAGATAATCAGTATTTTGGTTGTGGTTTCTACATAAGATGTTTAACACACCACCAGTACTATTTAATGTAGGGATTTTATAAACTCCAGATCTTTCCTATAGAGCAAGGTCGTCCCCATCATTTGTTAACATTCTCCTGAAATTGGATTGAGGATATATGGCTAATAACGGAACATTCCTTTCTAAAGATTCTTGCTAACTTCTTGCTAATTTTGGAAAGACTTCAACTACCATATTATTAGCAGGTTATTTTGAAGCAGACAGTTAATTCAGGATTAAATTAATTAAAACTAGAATTAGTTTTAACAAAGCACTTTTGCTGTAACAAATTTTCCTAGTAAGACAGGATTCCGACAGATTACAGATTTTGATTGTAACATACACATATATTTTCTGATATCAAAGAGAAGAAGATGGAATCTATATTGATAATCTAAGCATACATTCAACAACATATGCAGACGATATTGTTCTGTTAGCACCGACATCTGCAGCACTGTGTAGAAAAATTCAACAAATATCTGAATATCTGGAAAAACTAAAAGTAAAAATAAATCCGAAAAAGTCAGTAGTAATGATTTTTAGAAACGGTAGTAATCTACCTAAAAAACACATGTCGTTCTACATTAAGAAAGAAATTAAAATAGTAAACGAAGTTAAATTTTTAGGAATAATATTTACATCTAATTTATCATTTGAGAAACATTATAAGAGTACAATAAACGAGGCAAAAAACTTAATTAACAATTTAATAGTATTATTTTGTAAAATCAAAATGAAGAATGTGCAAACTCAATTTCAGCTGTTCAATTCAATTGTAATGAATTCAATGGGTTATGCTTCCCCAATTTGGAGCATAGGTAAATTTGATGAATTAGAAAAAATACAAAATATATTCATTCGTAGGATATTCCAATTGGAATACAATATCCCAGGCAGTGCTCTTCAACAAGAAATTAATAGATACAAACTAAATACAATATTGATAAGAAGATATATTAAATGGCTTAAAAAACTAATTACTTTCGGAGACTTAACAACAAAAACACTGTATTTACTATATGAAAAATCAAGAGATACGGACTTTAAACGTAACTGGATAGTACAATTATCAAAGATTTTAAATACATATGGTTTTTCTATAGAATTATTCTTGAATCAGACTAACAGTTTTGAACAACAAAGTAAGTTATTAATACATAGAGTAATGGAATATTCCATCGTACAAGATATCGAAGACATTCAAAAAAGAACAAACAGAAATTGGTACAAAATCATTTTAAACTATCCATTAATCAACGATTATATGCTAACAAATCTTGCATTTAATGTTAAAAAATTCTTTATGCAACTAAAATTAAATCAAAACGGAATAATGTTAGGAAATAAATACATAGAATATGCGCAATCCAAATGTCCAAATTGTAGTATACCATTATCAAAAATACACATTTTTAGTAACAATGAAAACTATAATGCCCAAAATTCTGAAATTAAGCAAATAGTCAACTGTACAAACGAGATAGATATGTATAAAATATTGGACAGAGCAAACGTTAATACTATCTTTAATCTTTATAATTATATGAGGAAATTTTTCAAACAATAAACGGTTAATCAAGAACCTAAATTAAAATATATGTTAGATACAAAAAAAAATCATATGTAAAGAAGTTATTGATTGTAACTTATATTAAATTGTCTTTAAATAGCACATCTCTGTAACACGAGAATGCCTAATACATTAAAATAAATGATGATGATGATATACTGAAATCATGTTTCTACCTGATCACAGTATTTGAAATAATCTTGACCAATTAAAAAAAAATTACTCGTAATTAATAATATGAAAACCACAGAATATCATGTTTAAAAACAAAAAACAACTATGAATTTTTGTAGTCTGTACGAAATATATTACCTTCACAACTCTCAACTGGAGGAAGATCATCTCCTCTCGAAACCGTCCAGCACTGCTTTATGTTAATTTGAAAACGCTGTGCAATATTCACAAAAAATCTATATCCTATTCCCAATATAACCTAAAAAAAAACAAAATAAACAGTTGTTATTGTTTCAATAACAATTTTAAATGAAATACTCTAATAAAAGTTTATTAAATATTCAAATTTGATAAATTTAAACAAGTAAGGAACCAACAAGATTTATCATAATTTCCTGCCTTTAATCTCCCGCTATGTATAATCCACAGATGACATTTCTTGTTGACAAACAACTTATTGTCACATAATCTGCAGGATAATTTTTCATAGAGAAATACTGTATTTACTCGCTCGTAAGACGATCTCGCATATAGGACGAGGTGTGATTTTAAAGATCAAAATGAAGAAAATTAGATTTATTAATACAATTCAAATTTTATTTCGTTTAATCACAAATAAAATATTATCAAATGCACGTAAATGCACACATTGACCCGAAGAAATTACTGGCTTTTTAAACTTTAAGGAAAAATCTTGTAAAATCGACAGCATAATTTCTTCGTGTAAAGCTGGACAATCGGGAAACCTTTTATGCCGATTATTAACAGTCGAATCCATTCTCCGTCAATTACACTTATGACTTTCTCCAAATTCTGATTTCCGAATAATCATCTGATTTCTTGTGGGAATGGATTAAAACTTATATTGGGCTTCCGTATGATTTTGGAATTTGATTCAAAAGCTTTGTTTTTCCTATTACTATTCATCTTACTCCTGACAATACCTAAGAAAGATTCAAACGACCCAGATAAAATACTTTTGTTTTTAAACATCAGAGGGCGAGCATCTGGTAAAAAACTGCAAATACATCACAAAAATTATTGCAAAAATGCAAAGAATCCTTCGCACGTGCGTATAGGAGGACCTAGGTTCTTGAAGCAGTAAAAAATTTGTAAAAACCTCGTCTTATATGCAAGTAAATACAGTAATTTGTCATATCATTTGTGCAAGTTTGCGTTGCCGTTTATCTGTTTGCTTGCCAATCACCAATCAGTAAATAAATTATGCAATATGTAAAGACATTTAATAATTAAAAAAATATTCTCAAATCTAGGACAGAAATGAAACAATTCATTTTAAAGCAGTACAATGAAAATGAAAGTTTTATGACCACCCAACTTACAACAGCCAAAATTGCTATATTAAAAAAAAATCAACTCGTAATAATCAGTTGCATTCCTTAACATATTATAACAATTAAATATTAAATGTAATACTGTGCGCAGATGCCAACATTATAGTTTGTTTACAGCTAAAAACTGCAATGTTTCCATCGAGTGTAAGCAGGAGCATTCGTAACGGTTGCAAGCTCTTCCATTGCGAACTGTTTCTTTGTTTCTGAATCACTGTCATAAACCCAACCTTCATCATCTACAATGATGCTGCAGATAAAAGGGATTATCAAGATCATGGAGTTCATTGCACACTTCAGTGTCGCTGCTTTGTCATCAGCCCGGAAACAAACATGTCAGCCATGTGATGCATGTTTAAATCATTCAAAAGGATGGCTTGACACAATCCGTACGAAATTCAGACCACCTTACAATGTTTGAGGAGTTTTGACAACAGTTCTCGCGGATCAATTGTCAAACTTTTTCGATATTTGCAGAGGTTTTGCTAGTGCACAGTTGTTCAAAATGCTCTGTCTTCAATGGATTGTTTGTCCCTTTTTGAAGTACAAGTGCACATTTTATAACAACAACAGCATCATCATATGCCTGCCTAAGCATTTCAAATGTTTCAGTCAGTTATTTTCCAAGTTTCACACAAAACTTGATGCTTGTATTTTAATGATTTATCTAGAAAAGATTTTAATCGTTAAATATCTAAAGAAAATTTTAATATTGGGCACCACAAAATTATCCCTAAGTTTGATAATATTCTTTCAATAAAACAGTCGCAAATTTTACATTGATTTATGACCATGGTTATTCAGAAATAAAAAAGAATCTTAATCTTTGACTATATATTTCATACCTGGTCTCCAGATTGGTCTTTTACAACTCAAATAAAACTAAGATTTTCTTGTGTTTTGATAGCACACAATTACTTTTTAAGCAAAACAACATACAGAGATACTTGCTGCTAGATAAAATCAATTCTTAATGATGTAATGACTACACTACGGTCACAATCGCAATGATAATTTGCATTTCATTAACATTATTATATGTTAATGAAATAAACACTTCAGAGTTACAAGTATTACGTACGCTATAATATATAGAAACTGGTAAGTAGACTATTGTATATCATCAATTATACTTGAAAATAAACAATAATACTAATCATTTCTTCACGTCCCCTACAAAATGTCTTGTATTCCACCTAGAACAATTGCTTTAAACCAAATTTCTCTTCTAGAGAAACGTATGTTCATATATTAGTCTAAAATTAACTAGTCTTGTAATTTATCTAATCTTTGCAAAGCCAATATTCAAGTGAAGGGGTTGGCAACTGATAACATGTAAACAATTACCAAGAAATAAGCATGTAAATATTTGTTGAAGTCCTCACATCAATGATATTTTTAGTTCATTTCGTAATAAGATATATTTCTAAATTAAAAGTAAATTACTTACCTCGGGATAAAGATTAAATCGTTTTAATGTATTTATCGTGCTTGGATACTCGGTTAAATTATTATACATAATGTTATGAAGTCCTTCAGAAATTGATTTACTTTCTACGATTGTTTTAAAATAAGAATAATAAAGACCCTGAAATACAAAATTTTTTGAATTAGGTTATTAATAATATAATGAAAGAGAGATATCAAAACTTACAAAAATCAGCATAACCTTATTTGTGAATTAATGTTTCTAATTGCTTAAACACTAACCTTTAGATTAAATATGAAAGAAAAAGTGATTGTAACATAAATTTTAAGTCTAAATTTATTTAATTGAAAAATATACTAATAAAAAATACACTTTGAATATATAAGAATCATAAAAATACCATCAAAAGATTAGAATAATAATAAATCAATTATGAAATCAAAAACATTAAAAAAACTTAAGACATCGAGGGATTAATTAACTGCATTAGTCAAGGGATACCAGTTATATATAATGTAATATGTATATAAATTTCATATATGTACTGTGTCCTTTTCTTATAGTCGGTGACCCTCCTTTTTCTATAGTCTGCGGGCACCGCTAGTTTTTAATCTCAGACTAAAGTAAATGACGAGTAGCAGCATCCAACTAATTTATTTCCTCTGACAAAGAGAAATAACGGCAAATACACTACTGAAAAGTACTTTCGCCCAAAGTAAAACAGGCTTCTTCCATCACAGCTTCCTCCAATGAGAACGACATTTCAAAATTTTAAGTTTTCAAATCGTTCTATTTGTACGACATCTTTATATCGTCAGAAAAACCACGGGCTGTCAAGTAACTGCAGCCGTTAAAAAGATCCACCAAATCTCTTTCAAATACATGCAATTTTCTGTCGCATGACAGAAAATTGCATGCTGATTCCTCAGCTAAATAGACCGAAACATTCATTTCAAATAAAACATGGATGTCAATGGCTCCACTATGCATTTAGTAGTTGAAAAGCGGCATCGTTACTAAATCCTTATTGGAATGTATTGTATCCGACGGTGTTTTTCTGAAAGAAGTGCTGGAATATCATTTTGGCCCCAACACCCCAATCATAAAGTACCTGTACACTTTTCCCATTAAATAAATTTATAAACAAATTCTATTAGATAATTATAAATGCCTATTTTTTTCAGGTTTGTATCCATCAACACACATTCCAGAATTAAAAAGAAGAATGGAGACGGGAAAGAGTCGGCAGCAATATATCTAGGTCGAGAGAATAGGTAACGACCAAGGATGATTCAGTTATTCCTCTCAGACAAAATAAGGAAGCAGAAAATTACTTTTGTACTGACCTTTATCAGGCAAAAGCGATCCTTCTCCCAAACTGCGAGGGAAAAGTCTGGGAAAATTCTGGAAGACGGGAAAAATCTACTTAGAAGACGGGGAAATAACCCACGGAGTGGAAAAAATCCGAATTAATTCCCAAGGAATGCCCGCCCACCTGCCATTATAGAAAACATGTTTTGGGAACGTTTTGGCCAACACACGGAACCCTTGGTCAGCCACTTTTAATTAATTAATAAATGGCATTTCGGTCATCGTTGGTCTTGGACTTACACAAATGGATGATCATACCCCCTTTTTAGGGTGAACTTTCCCCGAATTTTCCAAGTCAACCGCACCTTCTATACCAGAAGTCCGGTCGTACTTGTTTTCGAAAAAAGTCTTCTTCCAAACAGTGCTAGTCACGGAGGACGTCGGCAAGACAAGTCCCCGAGCTTAGTCAGTGCCATCCGCACGCCCCCATGCACTTTTTCCACGGGCCGAGACAGACGAAACTGTTTTGGGACCCACCGGGTGGAGTGGTAGAGTCTAGTAGAAAAAAGGAAAGGACTCACCATCTCTGTTCGGAAAGTCATCTCCCTCTCCAAGGTGGACAGATGAGAAAAGTGGCGGTAGTTTTCGAACAAGACATACTGGTGGTAGCTGCAACGAAAAACATATCATCGGCGTTGGACCAGGGATCCAGACCCATTGTCGCCCAGCCTCACCTGTTCAGGGCACCGCAAAACATCGCTGAAAATATAAGAAAAAACAAAGACAGTGAGAAGAGATTTTGTTTTCTTTTCTTAAATATGAGGAGGCAGAAAAGAGGATTTCGTCCCCTCTCCTGCCAAAACCCATAAAACCATAAAAGAAAATGCTCTGCCAACTGGAAGACCATTCTTTCTCGGACATGTAGGTAAAAGGCTTTCCACCAGCAACTCTTCTGGACTGGCGCGTGGTATTCTGGATCCTCTTCAACAGCCTAACTCCTGAAGGCCAATCTCTGGTTAAAAATCCACCTGGGAGATTCCCTCTCGATCAATGGAGGGGTCCCGCTTCGCATCCCATCGATCTGATTCTATTCAGACACTTTCCCAAAAGCGTCCCAAAAGGAAAGCGTCTCTACTGTAACAGGACGCTTTCCCAAAAAGTGTCCTGTTACAGTAGAGGAAACTGCCACCCACTTAAAAGGAATGGCTCCCAAGGACCCGCGGTTTCGGATATCCGCACGGCAATCAACAGTTTACCAATGATTCGATTTCTGTAAATTAAGTGAAAAGTGGGTCCATACTTTAGCCCACCTTTTCACTTTATTTACAGAAATTTTTTGTTTCTCCTTTCATTTCTACATTTTCCTGCACCTTATAAAATTTTGGCTGCCACAGACATAAATACCTTGTAATTCTGGTGAAAATCTGTCAAAATGACTTTTCATCACTATCAAGTGCCTGAAAATGGTCAGCACCGTGTCAGTGCACGTTAGTTTGGACAATATTGCCCTCTACACTTATGGCATATGCGACATATTACCCAACTCATCTTATTCCCGGCACGGCTAGGCAAAGTTAAAAAAGAGGGTCAAATCAACCATCTCCGCATGACTACATGCAGAGATGGTTGATTTGACCCTCTTTTTTAACTCTTCTTTAACTTACTCCGCAACTCTACATGTAGTCATGCGCTTTGGTGCTAGCCATCGCTCGCACCTCAGCGCTTTCTGTTTCTCGCTCTCATCTGTGTAGTCATAATAAACAAGAGCAAAAAACAAAGAGCGTGAAATGTCATCACCTCTTCTCACCACATATTCTCGCTCGCTGACGTCTGCATAGTTGCATCCCGAGATGTGCGAGAACCAAAAATTTGCTCTCGCAGCGAAATTTCTCGCTAATTCGTGTTTTCCTTTGCAAGAACTATATCGCTTTGCTCTCACCTCAGCACCCAGGTGGAGCAATCCCACTCCTTAACAATCGAACAGTCAAGCAAGGTACTCGTCCATTCGTGGCTACTCGAGCATAAACCGGCATAGTCGCGTGGGCTAAGTAGTTAAACACCATATTCTTACGGGAGCACACGGTGCGACTGACGATCGCTTGCGGCCGATTCCGGGAGGCTTTATCTCGCAAAGCGTCACATTTAGAGTTGCGGTTTCTTTGACCATTTTACTCTTATGGACGTGCTCTAAAGCTCCATTAACGTCCTGACAGCATCGTTCACATCTGCAATCTTACCGCAAAAACAGTGGGAGGAGAAAAGTCGTTTCCCGGGAAGGACAGAAAAGAGCAGATTTCGGGTACAAATGCAGGTCACGTGTGGAGGGGGAACCCCCCTTTGCGATCAAAAAATGTCTAATGAACCCATCTCCTACTTGTCCGAACGTCTTCCCTGACGTTTCCGTAAGTATAAAGCGTTGTCGGAGCCCTAAATCCGCGGAATTTTTCCTCCAGTGTCGAGCTGTGGCTTACCCAGAACCGGGACGAGCGCCAGAGAGAAGAAGGCAGCGGCCCGACTCCCTTTCCGTTCCGGAAAGGTTCCGCCGCCTCTCTTCTCTCCCGCGCATTCGCCCGTCCGTCGTCTCTCCGTTCCACTCTTCCTCTTCTTCGGCGCCATTTTTCGAACTGTGGTTCATTTTTCGGCCGCCGGAGGGAGCTTCGAAAAGTGAAATATTTTCCGACGCGAGTCGAGTGGTAATACTTTATAATAGATACACCAATGTTTTTCCTCTTAATTATATTTGCAATAGAGACATACATGCTAGACATGTCCAAAACACATCGAATGTATGATGGAAAACTAATTTAAAAAACGCTATAAACAAAAAATCGTAGGACTACTTATCGACAGTGCACCGCCATCACTGAAGCTTGTTTTCGTCGTGGAACTATACACATTGCAGGGCGGACGCGCACACATCGTGCCACGTGACCTGGCTTGGACGTCAGTCGCTCACGTGACTCCAGCTCTGACGCGTTTTCGGACAACTTTTTCTCGTGGCGGAATAATTCGTTCTGTTTGCACTATACCTCGCAGGCATCACGTGATAGAGCAAAGACATCCTACGGTGCGTACATTAATATCGGTCGCTCCGCCGGGCTGCTGCTTGTAGACATTTTTACATAAATATTTGCATATACAAGCACCATGATGCATGCAAGTTCGAAAACTGCACAGTAGATTCAGAAAATAAAAATGACACATTTCCAAGAATTGCTCGTAAGCAAAACATAGAGAATACATTGACAAAAATAGTTTTTTTAATTTTAAATAATAATGTTAGTAAATTTGTAGACCTTTCAAAAAGTAATTGATGAATCAAAATTTGGGACTTAACTGCAGTTCAAATCTTCCCAGTTTCTTTCTCACCAATATCTTCCGTCCTTTACTTGCAGTTTGACCATTCCGTAATGATTCACCATTTATATCTTCTATACATGTATGATTTACTGTCAGGTGACGAAAGCCTTCATTCTGAAGACAATCGTACGCCCTCCAGCAATCCCTTATAACTGTTGTCCCGGGAAGCACCCACTCCTTCAGGACCGCGAGCAAGGTCTCTCTGTCACGTGTTATATACTTCCCGCAGTGAAATCTGCCTCTGTTCTCTGCGCGAAGAGGATTGCCACACCGACGGCAGTTGGTATAATTACGCCAGATGCCGTGGTGCAACAATTCCTCTTCGGAGTAGCTCACTGCATCGCAGTACTTGCAACTTTCGCACGAAACTGATGATGTTGATGAAGATACTGTTGCCATTTTAAAATCTACAGAGTTTGGGCTCAATGTGAACTGAAGTCGTATCACGAAGTAAATATATACACAATGCTCTTTGACGTCATTTCAGGTGTTCATCCATCATCCATTCACAGAGCGCGAAATGAACGCAAAGATAAGTTACACGATTATAATGGTGCCGTCAAACCAAGAAAGCCAAATCAACAAGATACCTTTCCCATTAGTTCGAAATCAAATTACGTATATGATACTTTTTATTTCAAAGGTTGACAATGACGAAGAGGAATGACTCGTCATCACAGAATTATTTTTAAAAGAGCGACTTTTTAAAAACACGTTATTTTATAAAGTTTAGTTATGTGAGGACCACCACCGCCCTCCAAAAATATATATATATATATAATGTATTCACATATTTATAATGTATTCACATGAACCTTAATTGTATCTTGGATAACAACCGAAGTTGTAAGAGGAAATTCGCCTATTTTACCAATCTAGGGACCCCCCTTTTTAATATTAAGTAATTAGAATAAAACGGTTTATCATTCAAAATCTCACAACATGCCAAAGAAAAGAGGAAAAAAAAAACAACCAAATAATCAAAAATTATATAGAAATGAGGAACATTGCATTCCCCCTTTGTTTTCGGCAATGTTTACATGAAGAACTTAGTCAAAGCAATCAATGAACAAACAATGACTAAGAACAAAGATGAGTCATGTCGACTCTAAGAAGGCTGCAAGTCATCACCAAATAAGAAAACACTGTCTCAGCTACAATGATGACACTGCCAATGAGTCATCACCCGATGATGACTTTCTCATGCTGAAAGGGTTTAAAAGGAAAGCCCCAAAAAGAGAAAGCACAGTCCTGTTAGACAGTTCAGTCAGAGATGGGGACACAGTGAGTTAGAGACAGTTCAGTCAGAGAGGAGGACAGAAAGGAGGACATCAGCGAGTCAGAAAAAGGCAGTCAGAGTGAGGACACAGTCCCGCTAGAAAGACAGCTAGAAGGAGACAGCGAAATAGTCAGCAGTTATGGACACAGCTCCAACCAGAGAAAGAGTGGTTCAAGAGAAGACGACTCCAAAAACGAGCAAGCAGGAGACGAAATGCAGTGAACACCAAGAACCTCTGCAGTCTTGGCCGTCAAGTCAACGTCACAAGAGAAGACATCTTGTTTATCTGGTATGTTGTGAGTCGCGTAAGTTCGAAATACCCCCCTGTTAGATACCCCCTCGTTGAATAGATAAGAATAGGCAAATTTCCAAAATCGGTTTTTATAACTTTGTTCTAAACTTTTGTTTATGTTAATAAAGGTCCTTAAATTGGTTATATCTGACTCTGCATTCTTCCTCCTGAGAGGCTCATTCCTGGACTTCAGAGTGACTCTTATCCTCGCGCCTTAATCATCCATTTTATCTCGAACGGTGGTGTGTCCGATAAAACACACCTGGTGGCAGGACTCTACCTAAAAAAGTACGTAATAAACCTTTTACGGCCCCCGATCCCCACAGTTATTTAAAATGCGTAATATACTTCTTTCTCGCTAGACTTATTACACCATCAATTAGAAACAGGACAAGCTTTAGAAAATCACATTTCGAACTTCGAGTCCCTCATCAATTCTTTGTGATGTAACTGTTTAATTGCACTGTTACAAAATTTGTAAAAAATTTTAAATAATAATTTGTTTCCTTATTGCCCATAGATCCCTGTCAACCTTCATTAACTATCACTTTTCTAGCTGTACCGACCCTTTATAATGTATGAGAGTGGAAATGCCTTTGAAGTCCACTGACAGTTTTATAACTTTTTGGAATTTCAACCCTCGACTAATTAGAAAATATGCAGCAAAAATTCAAATGTTAAAGAACAAGAAAAATAAATACTGTAATACACAAAACTACACACAGTTTAATATTTTAACAAGTTGTTTAAATTGCCCATAAGTTGTCAGATCTTTATATTCTTTTAAAGTTAATAAGGGTGCTTTCATGCACCAGGACGTATTTGGGGGGGGTTTAATACTTATTTATAAACAATTAAAAATGAAATAAAATATAATATAATGACCAGACGTCTCGCTTTTGGCGGGTTTTGTCGGCGTACTACTCTTTTTCCGATCTCACCTACACCTTAGGTCTGATAGGTATGATACAAAATGATCTTTCGAATCTTAAACATAAGACATAAGTTTAACTTTTTGTCAATTATGTGTCATAATCTTTCCAAAACTCGAAACTTTTTTAAAACGCCGTGGGACACGGGACAAATTGTTAAAAATCGGGACTGTCCCGCCAAAAGCGAGACGTCTGGTCATTTTTAATTGTTTATAAATAAGTATTAAACCCCCCCTTAATACGTCCTGGTGCATGAAAGCACCCTTATTAACTTTAAAAGAATATAAAGATCTGAGAACTTATGGGCAATTTAAACAACTTGTTAAAATATTCAACTGTGTGTACTTTTGTGTATTACAGTATTTATTTTTCTTGTTCTTTAACATTTGAATTTTTGCTGCATATTTTCTAATTAGTCGAGGGTTGAAATTCCAAAAAGTTGTAAAACTGTAAGTGGACTTCAAAGGCATTTCCACTCATACATTATAAAGGGTCGGTACAGCTAGAAAAGTGATAGTTAATGAAGATTGACAGGGAGCTAGCTATGGGGAATAAGGAAACAAATTATTATTTAAAATAATTTCAAAAGAAAATATTTTGGTATCGAAAGAAAGAAGCCGAAATCTCCTCCGCGAGATTTTCTCTCGTCGCTAGCTTACATAGCGGTCGCTAAGAGGTCACTGGCGTAAGGAAGAAGAGTTTTTACTGCGACGAATTTAGTAGCGAGCGATATCGTTCTCGCAAACGGAAACCATGCACAAGCGAGAAGCGAGAAATATCACTGGCGAGAACGAATTTCTGGTTCTCGCGAGAAAGGAGCTAAATTAATCACAATTGATATTGTGTTTAATGAGATAGAGAATAATTACAGTCGATCCAGAAAAGAACACATTAGAGTAAGGGATGGATTAAAAGACTCTAAAGACAAGTTCCTGGAATTCAGATATGGGCTTTTAGAAGAAAGAGAGGGAATTAACGAATCCAACAACGAGTTGCTTAACTTTCCCGGCAACATTTGGTGGAGTCATCTGTTACGAAAAACACGGGAGTTATTACAGAGGTTATTTACTAACCGATGGCCATACTTTACCTCTATTATACTATTAACACAACCGGGAAAGTAAAAAACAAACTTTCTGTCTGGTAAACGTTATATTTTGCTGCTCTTTGGCTCATTAGTTATACATTTAAAAATATGCTGGGTATAACATACCCCAAAATTTCCACGAAATCTTCTGTACTCGGGGGATTGCTAATTAGTAAAGCAATATTGTCCTTAGGCTGAATATTAACCTAGTTCAAAGAAGAGCGAAATAAAGACAGTAAATACTGTACTTTAGAGAGTTTAATTTAGGGAATTTAGTAGAAAACAAACAACAGAAGATACCATATAAGCGGCTTAAGTTTTTAAACATTTTAAAAGCTCCCGTTAGGAATTTCTGTGTTCGAATAACAAATAGCTTTTGTGTTCTTCGGTGTATTTTTAACCATTTAATATCCCTATTACATACATATGGTCCGTTGAAACGTTTACGGACCATATGTATATAATGTGGACCATATGTATATACGGACCATATGTATATAATAGAACCATATGAAACGGACCATATGAAAATATGGTCCGTTGCGGTTCGATGACAGAAAATATGGTCCGTTGAAACGTTGTAAACGTTTCAACGGACCATATTTTCTGTCATCGTTGCACCGATCGTTCGTTGTCCACCCCCGATATACGGTGTTTGTGATACTATTTGACAGGTAAATTATGTATTTTGTCCAACGAATTAATCACGTGTTGTATTCTCGAGTCAATACATTCAATATTAGGAGGTGTTCATAAATTACGTCTGCATTTTTCTTGAAATTTTTACTCCCTCTTCCCCTTTCTTCCAGGATTGTACGAGTTTCCGTAAGGACACGGATGATATTAAATGTTGGTGAGGAAGATAGACGGTGTGGCCCGAGGTTGACCGACAAAAGCCGGAGGATTCCGAATTCGAATCGTCGTTGCCGCCGACTAATGGAGGTAATTACGCGCCTTTAGAACCGCACCGGGCACCTAGAAGACGGTTTCGGCTCTTTATGCCGGCAGGCTTCAAAGAGGCCCGCGGTTTCGGACGTCCCGTTATTCCAGGGGTAGAAGAGCTCTAAAATACTCCGTCGGTCGTATTAAAGACAACGTCGGCCGCCAAAGGTCTTCCGACGGGTTAGGTCGGCGCCCGGTTCCCGGGTGGACCCCGTCGTCGGCTGAAGAATTTTCTCCCCCAGGAGGAAATTCCCCGCGGGGTTGGAAGCCCCGGTAACCTTAGGGTGCGACTATGCAGACGCGAGAGAGCGAATTTTCTGAGCGAGCGAGAATATGTGGCGAGAAGAGGCGAGAAGCGATAAATATCAAAACCTGTCAGATATGTGCGAGAACCAGAAATTCGCTCTCGACAGCGTTATTTCTCGCTTCGCGTTTGTGCATGGTTTTTCTTTGCGAAAACTCGGGAGCGAGAGGTTGCGAAAATCGCTAGCAACCTCTCGCTCGCTCTAAATTCGCGTCTGCATAGTCGCACCCTTACGTCCGCCGGTGCGGGCCGGGTTTTTGGGGTCCGGGTTCCTGGTCTATGTGGGAAAGGGCCCCCACCAAACAAAGCAATAATAACAGAGACAAATCGGAGGCAAGTCGTTTAGACCAGTTACATATAAAAACTAGTAAATCAAACGCTTACCGGATAGTAACAAAAGTTTATTTAATAAATTAGAAAACACATCTCGGTGATTTAGGAACCGTAAATGCTCAAGGACAATGCCTCGGCCCGGTACCGAAAATTTCTCTTTTTGTAAAGCAATAAAGTCGTTTTTTTCTCCCGTAAAAGTTACGCTTTTCTTCTCTTTTCGGAGGGAGAGAGAGAAGAAAACGGCGAGTTCGGGCCGGGGGCCGATCTGAGTCAAACACTACACTAGCTCGTTTCGGCCCAAACAGAAAGCATCCTAAGAGAAAAATAATCAAAACTACCTTCTAAACCAGTGTTTCTCAACGGGGGCGATATCGCTCCCATATGGGCGTTTTTCCATGTTGAGGGGGCGATTAGTAACAATTTATATTTTGGGGGGCGAAAAAACAATTTTCTGGGCGATATAGTAAAACATTATATTAAGAATAATTAGATATTTTATTCGTTATATCGTACAATAATCAAACAAATAACATTATACTAGTGTAAGAACGAGTGTAAGACGATTTAATTGTCGCATTCCCTGACCAAATTCACACGTCTTCGATCTAAATCAGGGAAAGTGAAAAAGAGAGAGCAACCTGGGAGAGTTCGACTGTCATCTTTACAGCGAGTTCAAAGCTCATTAGACCAAAATTTACGGGACCGTCACTAAATATTCCTGAAAACGCATTTCAAAAATTAAGCAGTATTTTAATACAGTTTAATCCAGTAGCTACTCAACACAATATTATTTCAGAATTGCAACATTTTAAATCGTCATGGAATATTTTAAAGGAAAATGTCAATGAAACTTTTATAAAATTAAACGAAAATGAACATTCTACTGATGATCAAGTAGAAACTAATAAAGATGCGATTTTATCCTCTTACTGCATTGCTTGCAAAAATTGCTCTATTTGTTGTTATAATATATTATTCAGATATA